GTTTGAACCCACCACTTTCGGTATATGGGGCCAGTGCCCTACCCACTGAGCCACAGGCACCGTCCAGAATTGGCATTTCTAACAACCCCCAGGAGATGCTGATGCTGCTGGTGGGGACGACACTGGGAGGTCACCTGGCCCGGGACATAGTGGAGGTTCAGTGAGAGAGGTGGATACTCGCCATTACAGGCCCTTCCTAGGACTTCTAAAGCCTATCTGGCTGCTTGATTTCAGAAACTAGCACAACTCTGAGAGCCAGACCCAGCTCCAAGTTTCATGGATCCCGCCTTCCACACTGTCCCAGAGACTTGAGTAGTCCCTGGTGCTCAGCTGAGGCACAGAGAGAGAGGCTCAGAAATATTTTTGGAAAGAAAACCCACAGTGGAAGAGAATAATAGAACAGCTTTTGGACAGTTTCAGTGTAAAGCAATGAGAAACATCTGAATCGAATTGAGTTTAAAATTACACCATTTTATAAAAATTAAAGAGGGGGAAAAAATCTGGGCCAAAATGTGTTTTTAAAGATTTATGGCCTCCAAAGTGTTAGCACAACAGCAAAAGAGTCTGGGAAAGAACCCACCCTGCACGGCGGCTTCTGCAGTCTGCTCTTCTGGGCTGCTCCCGCCAGATGATTAAACTAACCTTTCCCTGTCTGACCACAGGGCTGCTTTTTCCTTTGGTTGGACCTGGCCCGGCCCTGCCCTGCTCTGCTCTGCAGACATGTTTCTCACACACATTTTGGCACAGGGAGACTCTGGGTGGAAACCTCCAACCCTCAGTAGGTCCAGCTTCCCAGACTCCTAAGGGAAGTCGGGTATCCGAGACCGGTCAGGTCAGGTGAATAACTCATGGCCCCAGACCTCAAAGAACTGGCTGTCTGGAAGACAGGAGGTACCACTAGTGCAGAGGGACAGATAAAGGAAATGAGACATGGGGACACACAGGGAGACCCTCCAAGGCTAGATGCTCACCCCAGAATGTCAGTAGGGCCCAAATCACCACCACACAACCTAAAAGCAAATACCTAAAGAGGCTCTCACCAGGGAGAGCCAGGGACCCCAAGCTCTGGTCCCAGCACTCTGTTAAAGCATCTGGTATCTTGGGCAAGCCTCATCTGGGCCCAGAGCTGACCTGCAAGGTGGGAGCACTCCGGCCCAGCACTCAGAAGCTCCTGCCTGGGTTTTCCAAGCTTTACCACTGGGGACTCCCGCCTCCCTCCGTCCCTTCTTACTCAGGACTCTCGCTTTCTTTCCCATTTCAGTGGGCCTTGTGACCACTTTTTTCACTAATATTAGAACATAAGCACATTCCTCTCTGTAATGATAAAGTCTCAGCAAACATTTTCCATGGCTTCCGTCATGTTCCATCCAGAACATGTTCCACAGCTTAAATAATCAATCCCCAATCAAAGAATAACTAGGCTGTTTCCAATGTTTTACAGATATAAATAATACAGACATGAAATCTTTCTGCCTGCAGGTATGTTCCCTGTTAGAATCAATGGAAGTTATACAATTCTAAAGGTGGAATGGAAACACTTGAAACTGGTGACCCAGAGTGGAGGCTGGATGGGGGTCCAGCGGCTGGCCTGGAACACAGGCTGTCCCTCACACCTGGACACCGTACAAGTATTGGTGAGCACAGCCCAATGGATATAGGGGTTGTGTGAACCACCCCTCTCTGCCAGACAGCTGCAGATCCTGGTGAAAACTATGAGGACATCACAGGCTTTGAAGGAATAAACTGGGCCTCACAGATGCCAGGTGTCTGATGGTCACCTGCACGGCTTCAGGGGAATCAACTCAGCCATACTCCTACCCCCAGCAAACAGACCAGATCCCCACACAGGCTAGGTCCTCCATCTTTTCCAGAAACAACACAGGAAGAGGGGTCCCTCAACTAGCAATTCTCAGCTCCCTGGACCCCTGCCCAGTACACATCTTGTGGCACTGACCCTCTCCCAGACTTTGGTGCCGTCCTCCATGGCCCCCACCCAATGTCCACACCCGGTCACTTCCCTGCAGGTGGAGTGTCCACCTCCTCAGTAGATGGGGCAAATGCTGCTGCTCCCCAAAGCCTTACTCCTTGGCCCTGCTCCTCAGTGATCCCAGCCTTTCCCTTACACGATTCAGGTCCCCAGGAGACCCCTGGGTGCCCCTCATGCCAGGCCCAGCACCAAACGCTGAGACCCAGGGCTAAATGCAAGAACATCCCCACCCCGAGCAGGTCCCACACAACCCACCTGCCTGGCAACTCCTTCCATACATATGTGCAGGTCTACACCCCTCCCTGGAGCCTTCTGGGGACTTGAGTGTGTTGAGTACAGGAGGATCTTGCTCATAGCACCTTGGCCACCATCCAGTAACATTTAAGGGCAATCCAATGTTCTGAGACCATCAAGACTGGACAATTGTCAAATCCCTTCACGACACAGATTAGAAAACCAAGATCCAGATGAGTACCATCTATGCTGTACCAGCTTCCATGGCCACATCCACAAATGCAGCCACCAGAGTCCACAGCAGTAGACTATCTTCTACTTTGCTCCAGGCAGGGACAGTTGCTCTCCCCCAGTACAGGATGACCCTTCCCAAGTAAGCTGCTCAAAGGCAGTGGCAAGGAGCGGTGGATGGCTGAGAAGGCTCTAGGGTCTCTGCGACCCTTCAGCACCACACACACCTCATCTGAGACTGAGGCCAACAAGCTGCCTGCCTACGTCAAACCCATCCTCTGCTGGAACCTCATCAGCACAGCTGCCCCAGGGGCAGGCAACAAGGGCAGGCCTCCTGGGGTGAGGGAGAGGGTGGGTAGAGGTGGGTGGCAGGTGCCTCAGTGAGGCCGCTATACTCTAAACTTTGGACTTCTTGCCTGTCACACTCCCCACCTCCCAGCCAGACCAAGAATCCCTCACGCATCTGTCGTTATTACACCAACAGTGACAGCCAGGTCTGATGCTAGAGGGGCTCCCCCCCAATTACATCCTAATTACTGTCTAATTACTGCCTAAGTCTATTCTCTGCTGCTGTGACACATCAGTAAATTGCGCCATGGTGGTTCATGATCCATTCATGACTTCTGAGAGGGAGGCGGCTGACAGGGCTCCTGCTGAGAATCTGGGGCAGACCAAAGACACCTGAGCTCACTTGGGCCCCAGAGCATCAGGCAGAAGGACAGTGTGAAATGTTACCACAAGCCAAGGAAGGCGCAGATCCAGGGAAATGAATAGACCTTGCCACCCAGGGACAGGCTCTAGCTCTCTGCCTCTCCTCCCCTCTCCACCCTCCCTATGTGGTGGGCCACCTTTGGCTCTGGCTCCTCCCACAGCTCCTGAGAGCTCCTCCTCCAGCTCCCCTCCCCAGCTGGTCCTACCTCACAGAGGAAGGGCCCAGAGAGCCCCCATCCAAGAGGACAGGGTTGGGAGACATTGTCCAGATCAGGAAGCTTCCCCGAGGGAGTCTAAAGGTCGACTTTGGATCTTCCTTCCCTGTCTTGGGCTACACATCCCAAAAATGACTTCCAACTTAGAATCACATGCAAAATAAAAATAAATATACTAACAATGACCTACAGTTCCTCAAGTCCATGCTTAGAAACATCAACTCCTCAGGCCCTCCAAGGGTCTTTCCATTTCCCTGAGCTCTTGCCCCATGCCTTGCCAGTGTGTGCTATGGACCCGCATCATCTCCACATCGGACAGAAATGCCAAAATTCAGACCTGCCCTGACTCAACTGAACCAGGGTGTGCAGTGGAACAAGATCCCCATGACTGTGTGTACATCAAAAGGGGAGAGGCGCTGCCCAGCACCCACCCAGAGAAGGCGTGCTGTCTTCCCTCACTGCTTTCTGAGCTGAGCCTGAGTGGCAAGAGCAATAGGGCAGGACTAAACACACTTGAATACAAAGGGAAAGAAAAGAAATCTAAGTCTCTCCATTCCTTGGAGACAGAAATAGTTCTGTGGCCTCCAGATGGACTACACAGACACAGGGGAGGTCTCGCCTTCCCGCCAAACTTCCTCAACAGGGATGCTGGCACCGATGCACCAGTGGAAACCAGAAAGTATTTCTCTTTAGGGGAGCAAAATGAGAGGCTGTGGCTCATGTAGTCCCTTCTGTTATAATTAACTTGGCCAGAAATTCACCTAAGATACTAAATTCTGTACCTGACCCTCTAATTACAGCCAGAAGGCATCAGGAGACAATTACTTTCCAAAATAGTCCTTGGCGGGCTAGAGGCAAGGAGGAGTTCTCCAGTACATCTTGAATGTGCCAGCTGCACGCACCCAGGGCCGCCCAGCAGCCACGGAGCCTGGCCTCCCCTTCCTCCCTTTCCTCCTGCTCTCAAGCCTCACCCTCCTCCCATTTGGGGTGGCCAGACCTCCAAGCAAACCTGCAGGCCACTGTCACAGTGCCTGGGATTCCCAGGAGCAGGGGCGCCCTCTTCCTCGCCCTCCATAAACCCAGCACGCTTCCCCAGCATGGATCACCACTCTAATTAAATCCTAACGGGCTCATGAAAAACACTCCTGCCGCCCTCCAAGTGTGCGAAACAGAAAGTACCTCCTTGGGCAGCTGCAGCCGTGGCAGCCACCGCCAGAGGAGAGGTCTTTTTGCCCGAGTCAGGGAAGCTTCTGCCCTCCAGGATCCCACTTTTGGCTTCCTGCTTCTCCGCGGCAGTGGTCGAGGCTGATGTCTCCATCTCAGCTGCTCATCGTCCTGGGTAGCAGCCCTAAAAGAGAAGACAAAGGCACTCACCAACACTGCACCCAAACCCAGCCGGAAATGCTGACCCACATTCACGCCACCGCTTGCTTCTAAAGCAACCAACTTCATCCTCATTCTCTTATAATTGGGAAGGAGGGTTTAATTAATTTTGAGAATTATTAGTCCTGAGATTCATCTGGTCTTCTGAATAACCTTCCGGACAACTACTGGGCATGTTCATCATCTTTTACCCAGATTTTTATTATAAAGTCTAAGCAACAAGTTCCCACCGATGTAAGTCGTGAGAACTACCTTGAGAAATGAAGTCAGAAGTAACAACACAGGATCACCGGGAAAATAAAAATGAATATAGTAAGAATGGTTACTCAAAGGAAACCTAGCTTACCTGATCACCAGATCCATCCTTCATTTATTAATTTGTATGTTCATTCCTTCATCCATCATTCAACAACTTTTCATCCTTTATTAACTCACACTCAGTTGACATATTTTTAAGCCCCCCTATTTTACACCAGACAATATGCCTCGTGCTGAAGGTACAGTACATGAGTTTGCATTCTACTTGGGAGACAAAGAAAGGGGGGAATCAATGTAGGTTTAATTTCAGTTAGCAAGAGGTAGCAGGGGAAGAGAAGGTAGCACAGCAGCCCAGGGAAGGGCTAGAGGAGCAGAGGGGGCAGACTGCCCTGCCTCTTTGAGGCTGGGGTGTGATTCCTGCTCAAGGGGACACCCCACAGCAGCCAGAGTGTAGAGGCGGGAGCCAGGGCCCATGGAAGAAGGCCAGCTTCTCTGAGGAGTGCAGAGAGGGGAGGCATTGGAGGGTTTGAGCAGGGTGGAGGATGGGATACACCTCCAAAGTAAAGGGATCACTTCCCTACTGTGCAGAGTGGACTTTGGGGGGTCAGAAGCGCTACTGCAATGACCCAAGGAGATGCACTGGTGGTTTGGGTTAATGGGTCAGTGGTGGAGCTGGTGAGATGAGAACACATCATCCTGAAGGCAGAGCCAGCAGACCCAGATGAGGGTTAGATGTGGGATGGGATGGAAAGAGGTGACATGGTTAAGAGGGTAGGGATCAGCAGGAGGAAGGACACAGGTGACATTCCTGTCTCCAGCAGGTGGCAGATCAGATGCACACATTTTTCTGACATGCTTCACCATTTACAGACACTACTAATACAGTATTTGTACCATATACTACAGAATAGAAATCCTAAAGTAACATTTTCTCCCCAAAAAAGGTGGTGGCAAAGGCAGCTCAAATACTTGGCTGATCTCCTGAATAAGTGAGGAGTGGGGATGTTTATACAGCCAAACAGGAGGGGAGTAGGCTGGGAGCAGACCAGGAGTGTAGTTGGGGGCCATGAAGTTGGTGATGCCCCCAAGCCTTTGGAGACCTGCAAGGGTGCTGTGGAGCAGGCTGGTGGGAATTGGATTGGGAGCTCAGGGCAGGGCTGGAGGCTAAGGCGGGACTTTGGCAGCCACTCAGGGACATCTCCAAGGGGGTGGGAGGGAGGCAAAAACGAGAAAACTCCAACTCTGAAGCCTGAGGGAAAGAACAGGAACCAAGCAAGAAGAGAGAGTAGGAATGGGCAGTGGGGGAGGTGGAGGAAAACAGAGGAGTGTGGGGTCCTGGAAGCCAACCCAAGATAGACACATGCTCAGGAGCAGGAGCGACTGACTCCACTGCAGGCCACTGAGAGTTGGGCAGTTTGGGTCTCCTGGTGGCAACCTGGGCCTGGGTGGGGGCAAAGAGCAGGTTAGAAGCAGGTGGAAACAGAGGCATGGGTGATTTTGTCAAGAGGTTTGCCATCAAAGAAGCAGAGAGATGGGGCAACCACCAAAGGGGGATGTGTAAGGAGGCAGGAGCATAGTTCACATGGCAGGGAGGGTCCTCCAGATAGCTCATGGGTGGCTGAGAACAGTCACCAAAGGCAGCAGGAAGCTTCATCTCCAGAGGTCTCAAAGTTAAATGGACACTTAGGTCTTCCCAAGTAGAAAATCAGAGTGTACAGGTGTGATGGAGAGGGACCTAGGAAGGAGGCCCCAGTTGTGCAGGCTGTGTCTGCACACACCTGTCTGTCTAGTCTCCACGATCTTTTAAAACTCCCTACCTGGAAAGCCAAAGACAGTCAGGCAGATGAAGAGAGAAAAATCTCCTTGAGGACTGTAGTGATTTATGGGGTTCCCTGTGACCTAGAGATTCAGGGATTCTTGTCTGCTCTTCTAAGACCATTTTTAAAATCTGTCACTGAAGACTTTGGCAATTTGAATGGCCCACTAGCAACATACCCTGGCTGGTGCCTGCCTCTCCTTTGCTCCCTGAGCCTGGCCACGGGCATTACCTGACTCAACCATCTGTGTGCCCCCTGTGAGTGCTGCCACTTTCCCCTTCCACCCCTGCCCCCTTCCCTGGTGGCACCTCTCCTAGCTGGAAGCCTTGTGACAGGTATTCTTCCCTCTGGGTCCTGGGGCTTCTCATATATCTAGTCCCCTCCAGGTCACCCCCTGCCAGTGCCAGATAGCTTCCCCCAAACCAAGTCTCACCTCATCCCTCCCAAGACCAAGGTCCTTCTGGCCCTGGCCCTGCACACAGCCAGGCCTCCACTCAAGCCATGCCACCTCTTCATCTTTCTGTGTCTAATAAACTCCCTGCTCTTTCAAGATGACACTAAGACATCACCTTCTCTGGGAAGCCTGGCACCCCTCCCAGCCCACAGTTCCCACCCAACAGTCCCATTCTAAATTCATTAACACCTCTGGGCCAGGAGCTATTCAGAGCAGCATCCTCACAGGCTGGGCTGGGACAGGCTGGCACTGGGCCACAGTTCCGAATGCCTATCAAAAAAGCTCTGAACGGACCTCTGAAACAGAGGTTCCTTTAAATGCAAGCAATTCTGTGGACAGTCTAGGGTTTCCTCCCAATAAGCTCAGGTGAGAGAATTTAGGCCCAACTTTGAAACAGACCTTGAATTTGGAAATAGGACAAAAATCAAAATAACAGCTGGAACAACAAACCTTTAATACGTATTTACTAGGTGCCAAATGCTTTACAGGGGTGAGCTCATTTAATCATCAAAACATTTTATATAGCGGGAAACCAGTGCTGAAAGAGGTTGGGTAAAATGCCCAAAGACACATTCCTTAGAAGTGGCTGGGCCAGGCCTTATACCCAGGCACCCTGGTACACCACAGTGAGCTATCCCTTGAGCAAGAACCCCAAGTGTAAAGGGACATGCACCAGAATTCCTTGGCAGGCAGTGAGGTAAAGTGACTATGGAGCCATTCAGAGGTGGGGGAAGCACTTTGTGGGGGGCCTGGGGTCAGAGCAAGAGTAGGCATGGCCCCTGCCCTAATGCCCTATCCAAGACAGCACGATTGCTGGATGGGAACCACCAGCCAAGGGCTGTGCAAAGGCTGAGGCTCATCTAGGGCTGCAACTGCAAACACTATGGCCATGTAGGTGGCACCGGTCTGCATGGCACAGGGAGGAGTTTATAGTTGCATACTCATTCACTAACTCTTCACTTTGTGACTCCTTAGTGACAGCTGGCTTCATGCTTCACTTCCCCCCATAAGTAGGTGTCCCTCCCTTAGGATTGAACATTCCCTCTGCCCCAGCACCTGTCATACAGTCTGGTCATACTTGCTGTGTGTCCACCTGGCTCCTTGCTTGACCGTGACTTCCTTGAAGGCAGTGATGGGCCTCCCACTGCTCAGTCTCCAGGTCCACCAGAAAATGTGCTCAGTCAAGTGGATAGGTGGGGCCAGAGAGCCGGGTCTGTGCCTGGGAGACTTAAATCTCTGAGGACCAGAAAACTGCAGAGGACTTAGGGCACCCTCAGAAGAGGAGCATGTGACCAAAACCTAGGGTTTGAGTGACCAAGCCCCAGCTCCAGCCTCAGGGATGGGTGGACAATGCTCCTGCAGGCATTGATCTGACCCTCTTCAAATGCCGATGGAGAAACTGAGGCCCAACAGCTCAGAATACTAAGACTTAGTGTCAGGGATGCCAAGAAGGAAAGAGCCTTCAGAAGGGACTGTGACAACTTTTGTTAGGAACATCGGAGACTGGAAAGAAGAGGAGGCTATGGATGTTTTCATAACAGCATGCTATGGTCTGAATCTTCTGTCACTATACCCCCAAACTCGTATGTTGAAACCCAACCACCCACAGTGATGGTATTAAAAGCTGGGCCTAGCTCAGCGCCTGTGGCTCAAGTGGCTAAGGCGCCAGTCACATACACCTAAGGTGGCGGGTTGGAATCCAGCCCGGGCCTGCCAAACAACAATGAAGGATGCAACCAAAAAATAGCCAGGTGTTGAGGTGGGCGCTTATGGTCCCAGCTACTTGGGAGGCAGAGGCAGGAGACTCACTTGAGCCCAGGAGTTGGAGGTTGCTGTGAGCTGTGATGCCACAGCACTCTACCCAGAGCGACAGCTTGAAGCTCTGTCTCAAAAAAAAGCTGGGCCTCTGAGAGGTGACCAGGCCATGAGGGCCCTGCCCTCATGAATGGGACAAGTGTCATCTTTTCCCATTCATGTCCCATGTGTCTCTCTCATCATGTGAGGATGCAGCTAGATGGTTCCATCCCTGAGGAATGGGCCCTCCCCAGACCCCAACTCTGCCTGAGCCCCCATCTTGGACTTCCCACCCTCTAGAGCTGTGAAAAACAAGTTTCTGCTATTCCTAAGTTATCCCATCTATGTATTTTGTTATAGCCACCGGAACGGACCAAAACACAGCAGCTGCAGCTCCTTCATGCCAACACCCCGCCTGTTATGTTGGTAGAGCAGATAATTCCCATAGGGAAGGAAGCTGCCACTCCCGAGGGTAATAAGCTGTCCAAGGCCACTCCCCAGGGAGGGAGAAGAGCCAGGTCCACTGGCCAAATGCTGCCTGAGGCCTGAGCATGTGGTCACTCCAGGACCAGGTGAACAGAGTGAGGAAGGACTCCTGACACCCAGACTGGGGCTCACAGAAGCACCTAGGAGTTCATG